GGGCAGATATCACATGTGGGAACTGCAATGCAGAGGAGTAACCCTTCACAATGTGGTAAGTGTCCTCCCAAAAGTGTGGACTCAGAGGTTGGCCTTTCAGCTAAACTACTATTTCCCAGGCAAGGAGCATGGATGGCCTGCGAAACCACCCATATTTACTAGTGATTTGCAGGCGACAAGTGCACCGAGGGCGCTCCTGCTCCGCTCTCCTCCAGCCCTCCTACTCACAGCATCGACTTCCATTTCGGGAAGAGGCGTGGGAAAAAGCAGGCGAGGCAGAGGCGAGGATCAGCAAAACAGCTAGAGACTCCAGCGTGTAGGACTCCCCGCTCCCCCCTCATCCCACCCCAACACCAAGACCCAGCTCCCCCCTCCCAGGGCAGGAGCCCGAGGGACCCCCAAGCATGGGGGCTCCCAGACCCCAGGCATGGGCTTTTGCCTTCCTTTAAAAATCCACCATGCCCCAAGTGAGGTGCCAGGCACAGCAGTGGCCCTGGTCCTCGCAGGGGCTGATGAGCTGGCTCCCAGGGCTCAGGCTGGCATCCAGTCCCGCATCCGTACCGGCGGGTCGACCCTGCGGGAAAGGGAGGCGGTGGGGCCGGGGCTGAGCCCGGGGAGGAGAAAGGAAGGCGCCCCAGACAAAAGGAAGGAAAATAAAGCTGTGTGAAAGAGCTGACAAAGAAAATAAACCGATGAAAGAATCCACCCTCCCCAACCTCCGGGAGGCAAGGAGGAGGAAACTCCATGGACACATGCAGGACGCAGCTTTCCCAAATAATCACCTCCAGATCCATGGCCCCACCACCCTGCCAGCAGATGGGGGGCAGAGGTGGAGACCCCCCTGTGCACCCAAGAGCCAGGTGGGATTAGGGTGTCGCTGATCCCTGTACTCTGAAGGCAGGGGGCATGGCTAGGTCGGTGGGGACGGCAATCCCAAGCAGCCCCCTCCTCCCTGGCCTAATTACGACAAGAAAGGCCACCCGCTCGGACCGCCAGTGAATGGGCAGCCAAGGGGGTCCCTCCTGTAATGAGGCACTCTGGCAGCCCCACAAAGGCAATCCTCGCATTGCAAAAGGCCAGAGCTGCTCCAGGCTCTGTCGCAGGGCGGCGGCACTGGCAGGCAGGCACAAAGCACCTATTTCGCAGGGTGCTTTCAGTCCCCTGCACACCCCACTGCTCCTCATCCCAGTGTGTGGGACTCAGTCTTCGATCAGTCCTTCCTGGGCCCCTGAAAAGGGCAGCCTCTCTACCTGCCACAGCACAGGCTTGTGGCCATCACCCACCAGGCTTCTCAGCACCCAAAGGGAGCTTGCTTGCTGTCCCCCTCCCATGCGAACTCCCTCTTCTGTCCCAAGCACAGCTGGAAGGGGCCTCCAGACACAGCCCACACCATGCACCCTCCACCCATGACTTACAAAAGACCTGTCCAGTTCAGGAAAATACCAGTCCTCCCCTGGCCAGACAAAAAAAAAAAAAACCAACAAGAAAACAAAGGAGAGCATTTTGCCAAAGCAATGTTTGCACAAGTCACTTAGTTTCTCATTTTTCCTTGAGGTTTTAATACTTCTTGTTTTCTGCTCTGTCAGAAATGAATTTTCTTGAGAAGGTGCTGTTTCTGTGGCAGCAGGTGGTGGATATCTTTGGGAAAACCAAAGGTCAATTGCATCCCTGACAGGGGAACACCTTCCAAAGGTGTTGATGGGATCTCTTGCAGGTGGCAGGCAGTGGTGGGCAGCGAAAGCCTTCCTAGAGAGGAGCTGCTGTCTTCCTGAGGGAGGCATGCTGCTGCTCTGCCAGCCCGATACTGCACGCAAAGGTCAGGGCTGAATCATACCCAACTTACAGGGGAGCCTGAGTTGGCTGGCTGCCGGGCTTCCAGCTTCGAAAGCTGCCCCGAGTCAGAGAGCTTGCCATGGATGAGGAGCCACTGCTTCTGCAGAGGAGCAGCAGGCAGGCAGGCAGGAGGGCAGCGCAGGCAGAGGAGACACGCTGGCACCAGCCCCAGGCTGGAGCATCGCACCACGAGCTACGCAGCCATCCTTGGGGCAGGGAGAGCCTCGTCTGAGCAGATGGTCCTGCACCCGGGCTGGAGAGGTGTTACCAGAGGTACCGGCAGCTGGGTGGGAGGCATCAGATATGGGGTGTGAGGGACCCAAGATTTCTGAAGAGTCCAGGGTGGCACGAGGCTGCACCAGGTATTGGGACACTGGCCCCATGACACACGGCTGTGCCACAAAGCAAGGGCTGAAGTGCTCGGGCATCACTCCCTAGCCAGGCGCCCCAAGATCTTAAACTTTTATTTCCCCAGCACCTGGGGAAGCACCCAGCCTGTCTGCAGTCTGGCTGATAAGGGCTTCTCCCCAGGCTGCTGTCATCACGGAAAGCAAGGGGAAATACAGTTGCTGGGACTTTTGCTGTCCCGCTGCTCCTGCTTTCCAGTTGCCCACGCATGGCCTCTGCCCAGGGAGCCACGGGGCTGGGCTGGCACAGCCTGAGCTCTGCCCTGGACCCAGGAACACCCAGCCTTGCTGGAAGGAAAGGGAGGA